TATCTTCTGTGTCTGTGTTAATTGGTTTCCCTTTTCTTTGTTGAAGAGGGTCTGTGCAATCCTTCTGCCTAGTCCGCCATCTTGCCCCGCCTCTTGCATTACAGGATCTTGAGCAGTATCCTTGGTTTCTAGCCAGTAGATGCCGGCAGCACCTCCCTCCAGTTGTGACAATGAAAAATGTCTCTAGACATTGTACATGTCCTCTGGGGGAAAAAATCCCCCCTATTCCTTCAGAGCCACAGCCCACTGCTTTAGAGTAAAAATAGCTTTCCTGTCCTTAAAACAGCCAAAGCAACAGAAAACTTAGCTGTTTTCCTTCTCTGTCTGTTCACTGATAGTATGTTTGCTGCCTCCCCTTTCTTCTCCTGTTCCCCCCCCCCCAAAAAAAAACACATAGCTATAGGGTTTCCAAGGCTGTCAGTCTTTACAGAAGTAGACCACGACATCTTTCTCCCACAGTATGGCTGGTGGGTTAAAACGACTGACCTTTCAGTTAACAGCTGAGTACTTTAACTACCACCAGGCCCTCCCTTTTCTCCCAGAGCCCCTAAATCCTACCTTTGGCTTCCATTACCATCACTCTTGTGAAGCTAATTGCTTGAAGGTCCCAAAGTGGTCAGAGGATCCCTCTTAAGCACTGGCTGTACTTTTCAGATTTGATTGTGCTGTTCCACCCTGTTTGAAATTCTGGTTTCTGCACTACTGCCATACTTTCTTCACTGTATCTGACATCTCTGACTTGGCTGCCTCATTTTCCTCTGTGCTCCCTTAAATTATAGGTGTGTCCTAAAACTCTCATTCCCTATACTTACCTAACACTGCTGCAGATGCTCTTATGTGGCCTGGCATCTAGTTCTGCTGTCTTAATTGCCTACTGGCAATCTCATGAATGAGTGTCTTCTCTTCCAACTTGGCATACCCATGACTGAGCTCCCTGGCTCCCCTGTTAGCCAGTCATGCATACCTACTGCTCCCATCCTCCATCATCCAGGTGGGAACCTGACTTCTTCAACCTACCTCACTCACCTTGGCCCCCAGCTACCCTGATGCCCCTGTGGCATTTTGTCTCTTCATGTCCTCCCTTCCTTTCCTGATGACAAAGATCCATCATCTTTGTCTCTATAATTTGGTGATGGCTGTGTTCTTTCTTTCTAGTATTCTTCCTCTCTCACCTCTCTAAACCTCTGCCACCAAAAATTATATTTCTTTAGGGTGGACGTATATTTTGGTTTGTTAATTTCAACAATCCATGGCTGATTTAATTTTTTAAAATTTTGAAATGTATCATGTATACAGAAAAGAGATGCAAGTGCTACTTGTACAAATTAAAGAATGATAAACACACTTGTACCTGCCACCCAGGTTATTAAATAGGACGTTACCAGTATCTGAAAACACCTCTTCTGATGCAGCGCTTCCTCTGGGGGTCAGTATAATGGCACTCACAGTAACCTTGCCTTGGCGTAGCTTTAGGAATCCTGAGTCGTGCGAACAGTTAAGCCCTTGTGAAAGGGTGGGCGGATCAGTAGTATGGGGAGTAGTAATAGCATCAGAACCTGTCTAACTGCAGGGTGGATAGTGGCCAGGATCAGCCAAAACTGATTCCCATGAGGTAGAGGTCAAACACCTCTACTCCCCAACCTTTTTACAAATTCTGACACCATCCATCTCTCCCATGGCACTCTTTACTTCTGTTCTGGGTTCGATAATCCATTGCAATGCCCACATAGAACTCAGACCACACTTACAGTGAAGTGGTCTATTAAGGAACAGGGTTCAACTCAGGAACAGGAAGTATGTAGGCAAAGTCTCCCTTCTTAACTTCAAGACTGCTCTCGGAGCTCCTCTCAACTGTGTAGGCCTCCTCGGCTCCCTGAGGACAGGGTCCTCTTGGCCTCCTCGGGACAGGCTCTTCTTGGTCCTGCCATCTGTCACCACCGGCTCTGCTGCTGGGCACCCTCTGGGCTTGTCTCTGCTAGTTCTGCTGCTGGGCACCTTCTGGGCCTCTGTCTTCAGTGTTAAGCCCTTGACTAGTGTTATAGCTTGTTTAGAAGATTCCTTGCCTCTTTCAGGGAACTCTGATAGCATAGTGCCTAAGGCATTTGACCGCTAACCAGCAGGCTGGCTGTTGAAACCCACCAGCCACTCCTCAGAAGGAAGATCGGGCAATCTATTTCCATAGTAATACTACCTTGGAAACCCAAGGAGGGGTCACTATGAGTAGAAATCTACTCAATGGGTTTTTTGGTTTGTTAATTTCAAGGCAAGGCACTCCCACTAGATGCACGAATTGACCAATCCTATTTCGGTTCTTAGGATGCAGATGTTTCATTTGCATGGAGCAGCTGGGCTATAACTCACCTCATTTGCATAGCCTATTGACCATTCCCTGCAAGTTGCACACCAAACACAGGGCAGGCTGCAGCCCAGGACCAGACAAAAAGTTTCAAAACCAAGTTGTTTCCAGTTTACCCAGGATATGTCAGTCAGCCTGGACAAAAGTATCAAACCCTCTGGGGTTGAAAACTCCTCAACATAAATCCTTAGGATTTAGGGAAGAAAAAGTCTCAAGCTGTTTTTCCAAAGAACAAAGGCAAAAGTCCACAAGAAGGAGCTCACTTCACCACAGTAGTAGACTGTTAGCCACGAGGTTGGTGGTGCAGACCCCCCCAGAGGCCCCTCAGATGACAGACCTGGTGATCTGTTAACAAAAGATGGCAGCCTTGACATTGAAAACCCCGTAGAGCAGTTGTACTCTGCACACGCAGGGTCACCATGAATTGGAATTGACTCGATGGTAACGGGTTTGGTTTTGGTTTTGTGTTTCCGTAAACAATATGTTGTTCCATTGTGAGAACATGAAAGGCCAGCACAAACCTTTCTTTGTAGGAAAAGAGTCATAGTATCAGCGATGGGTGAGGGCCCCCAGAAGAAAACTCACCAGAGTCCTGCACATAATCTGGCTTCTGCATAACCTTGGGATTTTTCCTGCAAGAGTAGAAATTATTCATGAGTAAATACTAGGAAACAGATCTGATAAGATATCATCAATGGGTTGGACATTGGATATCCAGCAGGAATGTATGGCTAGGTGAATAGGAGGAATTTTCTTCTAGGTTCACCATGACGAGCTCTGGTGATGCAGTGCCCAAGGCATTCAGCTGCTAACCAAAAGGTTGGCAGTTCAAACCCACTAGCCACTCCGCAGGCTAAAGATGATGCAGTCTTCTTCAGTAAACATTTACAGCTTTGGGAACACTATGGGGCATTTCTACTCTGTCCTATAGGATTACTATGGGTTGCAACCAACTCGTTGGCAGTGGGTTTTGGGTTTGGCACTTACTATAGCCTAGCTTTCAGGTTGAAATTATGCTTTCAGCTGATACACATAGCAGGGCCTGAAGGGGAAATCAATAGCTTACTTAGCAGGAATCAGCCAGGCTCCCACAGAGTCTGTCCTCCTGTTAGGATTCATATTGGGATAATGAGACTATAACATTGGACACCTTTATCATGACAGCTGTCTCCTGAGTCAGGCCTGGTTGTCCTCTGTGTTGCTTAGCTCTCATCTTGGTGTCTCACTTCCCTGCCCTCCTGGGAATTTCCTTCATTTGCTCCTGTGTTGGATCTGCTCTTTCCTGTATCCCATGTATTTTTTCTTGGAACCTTAAACCAATATGACTTGACTTGATGCTGGCAAAGGCTCTGTTCCTCCCTTGTTGTTAAATAGTCTAGAAGCTAAAGCTATGTCTAGACTCCATTTGTAAATGGGACAGATGCTCATAGTAGGGTTTTCACTGGCTCCAAAAGTTTTACAGGACCAAAAGGGTGACCCATGCTCATCACTGACAACTAAAAGACTCTGCAACAGGCAGGGACTGGCACCAACCAAAAGGATAAGTTGGAAGAAACAGAACCTTAAGATAATTGGTATTTCCATATTCAGAAACAAGTCAGGAACAGAAGCTGTTAAGGGGTTTAGAGAGGCTCAGGTCTGCACACGGTGACTTTGTGGAGCCAGTGGGACATCTGATGAAGATGTCTAGCGTATGGACCACATAAATCAAGTAGAGCTGTATTACTAAGGATCCAGGGACTTAATTTTTCAACATTCTTGTCATTATTTAGATCTGCATGAACAATTGGGATGAAAAGATGTGGGTTACAAAATTGTTACAACAGGGTGAAGCATGTTTAATATGGATTATTTTCAGCTGGGAAAAACTTTTCAGTTTGAGGCTTAATTCTGATGATTGCTTGTACGTGTGTGTGTCTATTCTGTAGTGCTAAGGGGTCGGATCTTAACCCTGAAGAACCAGGCAACGTAGAACCTGCACCCATAAATAAGGCCCCAAAAGGACAAAAAAATATTAAGGAAATTCCATTTATAACTTCTGACGAGTTTAATGGTATCCCTGCGTAAGTAGGACAAATTTTAAGGTTTAACTATGTCTTAAATTATCAGTGTACATGATTGTTTAAATTATAAAGTTTGTTTATATTAACTAATGTGCTGTGTTCAAATTTTGATCTTTTCTAAAACAGTGTCACAATAAATCTTTTTTTTTTTTTCCCCGATTTGGGTGAAAGTTTACAGAGCAAATTCATTTTTCATACAGCAGTTCGTACACATTTTGTTTCATGACATTGACTGCAGTTCCCCACAGTGTAACAGCTCTTCTCACTTCCTCCCTGTAGTTACCACTTCCCTGTGTCCTTCTTTCCTATGCATTCCTGCTCCCTGAGCTAGCTGCCTTTCGGTTCTCTCATAATTGATCCTTCTAAAGAGTGTATCTACCTAATGTAAATGTTTACCCTGTATGCCTGACTGTTGTTTGGCTGGAAGCCACAGGAGTGAGTTTCATTCCAGGCCTGAAGGGACTAGTGGCAGTAGTCTTGGGTGTCTCACCAGGCTCCATAAGACCAGTAATGTGGTCTTTTTTAATGATTTTTGAGTTATGTTCCACATTGTTTTTCTCCCACTCTATCCAGGATCTCCTGAACTGATCCCATTCCAAATGGTTGACAGTGGTAGCTGGGCACCATGTAGTTCTTCTGGTCTCATGGGCATATAGGCTGAAATTCACATGGTCCACTAGTCCCTTGGACTAATTGTTTCCATGTGTCTTTTGTTTTTTCATTCTTCTTTGCTCTGGAAGAGGAGAGACCCATTGTTGCATCTAGATGCTGTGAAAATCTTTTCTTAAAGATACTTTAAATCATATCTTTTATTTAATTATAAAAACTTCTTTTCATAGCATCATCTGGTGATATAACAGTTCATTGCTTAAGATCTTTCCAGGATCCTTTTGTGTGTGATACCGTTTTATTCAGTTATATTTTAGAAGTAGCCTTCGTTTTGTAGTAATTTTAGGAATTTGAGTGTGTGGTACAGATTTGAGAATTAGAATGGAGAATACTGTGTTTGTTAAGCTTTTATTTTTCCCTTAACTTGTACCACATACTAGTCTGAGTCTGTGCTCCATTCCAGGCCCTGGGTCACTGAGGAGAATATAGGGTGAGTAAGGCAATCTACCTCCCTCCGAAGAAGGTCTCCTTTAATTTTTCCAAAAACAAGTTTTCACAGATGACACTAATGAGGACTCAATTATGGAAATCCATGTTTTAAAGTTCTCATAATTCCAGGGCTTTGCTTTTTTATTGTTTCTTAAAACTTATTTATTATATTTCTTGTTACTTTTTTATTATACAAATAATGCATGTTGTGAGAAAATAAATGTTTATTATCAGAAAAAAACCTTATCTGTAATTCTGCCATTCAGATAAGATGGGGTATTTATTTCTAGATACTGTTTAATTACACATATATAACAGGCATTTCTGGTTGTGTAATGTTACAGCATTGTAGTTATACTGTAAGTACAATGATACCCACTCCTCACTTGTCGACATGGTTAGGTTCCAAAAACCAGATCGTCGTGTGAAATCAGTGTTATGCAGGATTTGGGGTCTATGCCGCATCTTTAGTGCCATTGTCCTCCCATCCCCACCCCAGGTGCTCACTGCCTGTCCGGCCCCCTCGGTGCATCTTGGGATGCATAGCGTGGTGACCCCATGGGGGTTGAGGGTGGTGATGGCTGGTGGTGGTGGTAGTGGTTAGGTGTAGCCTGCCACCTCCTGGCATCCACCCTGGGCAGGGATCCTACTTTTCTTCCATCCATCCCAGCCCTGCAGCCCCAAATAGCCCTTCCCATCTCTCTCCACCGACCTCCCTGGCACTATTGGGCCCTTGCCCAGCCTCCTTCTTTCTACCTGTGACTTCATATCATCCCACCATCACCCTGCACCCTCCCTGGCTGGCCCAAGACCTTGTGGGCAAATAGAGAAGGCATCCCCTGGCTGGTAGGTCGCCATCCCTCATATGGCCTCCAGTGTATTGTTTGGGGTGGTCTGCAGAGGACACCCTTGGCTGACTATGCCCTGGGCCCCATATATGGTCTGGACCATTGGAGACGCCACATGAGAATTTTTTCAAAGTTGTTAAAATGGGAAATGTTGGTTAACGAGACAGTCGATAAGTGAGGAGTAGAGGTACATTCTTTTTCTTCAAGAACATTTTTCCATCATTAAGTATTATTGAAAGTTTGTATTTTAATAGTGGTACAATATTTCATCATGTGACCGTAATATAACTTATTTGAGTATTCCTTTTTTAAGTATTTGGATTGACTTTATTATTATAAATAATGATAAAGTAAAATGTCTTTTAGAAAAGTCTATTTTGCAGTTTCTTATTTCCTTGGAATAGAGTCCTATGAGGTGAATTCTTGTGGAAAAGGAATGATTATTTTCTAAAAAAGTTGCCCATACCAACTTTTTTTTTTTTTTAATAGTCTTTATTTTTATCACTGAATAATAAAATTCCATTGCATGGATATACCAAAGTTTTGTTTCTCCATTTACCTGTTGAAGGCGATCTTGGTTGCTTCCAGCTTTGGGGCAGTTATGCATAAAGCTGCCATAAATATTTGTGTGCAGGTTTTTGTGTGGACATATATTTTCAACTCCTTTGGGTAAATACCTAGGTGTGTGATTGCTGGGTCATATGGTAAGACTTTTTAGCTTTGTAAGAAATTGTAAGAAATTCCAAAGTGGCTGCACCATTTTACATTCCCACCAGTGATGAACGCAAGTTCCTTGTTGCTTCACTTCCTCATCAGCTTTTGATATTATCAGTTTAAGTTTTAGCCACTCTGACTGCTAACCAGAAGATTGGAGGTTCAAACCTACCAGCCACTCTGCAGAAGGAAAACAGGGCAATCTACTTCTTTAAAGATTTACCACCTCAGAAACCCAATGCAGGGTCACTGTGAGTTGGAATTGACTTCATGGCATGGGTTTGGTTTTGGTTTTTTTTGGTAGGTATGTAGTGGTATCTCGTTGTTTTATTTTGTATTTCCCTAATGACATTCCAAAAGATAATGATGAGCAGATTTTCATATGCTTATTTGCCATCTTTTATCTTCTTTCAGGAGGTTATCTATTCACATCTTTTGCCCATATTTTAATAGGGTTGTTTGTTTTACTATTGTTTAGTTTTAAGAGTTGTTTGTATATTTTCAATACAAGTCCTTTATCAGATAGGTGTTTTGCAAATATTTTCTCCCAGTCTGTGGCTTGTCTTTTCATTTTCTTAGCAATGTCTTTTGTACAGCAAAAGTTTTTAATAAAGTCCAGTTTTATTAAAAATTTTCTTTTATAGATCATGCTTTGGTGTTGTATCAAAAACTCATCAGCAAACTCAAGGTCACCTAGATTTTTCTCCTATTTTGTCTGCTAGAAGTTTTATAGTTTTACATTTTACATTTAAGTCTAGGATCCATTTTGAGGTAATTCTTATAACAGGTGCCTTTCTTTTGTATGTGAGTGTCCAGTTATTCCAGCACCATTTGTTGAAAAGATTACCCTTTTTCTATTGAATTGCTTCATTCCTTTGTCAAAGATCGGTTACCATATTTATATGGGTCTATTTCTTGGCTCTATTGTGTTCTGTTGGTCTAGTTGACTATTCTTTAGCTAGTCCCAGGCTATCTTTATTGTTGTAGTTTTATAGTAAATCGTGATGTCAGGTAGTGTCTGTCCTCTGACTTAGTTCTTCTTCAGTATTGTGTTTGAGTACTGAATCATACAAACTTTAGAATCAGTTTGTCATTATCCACAAAACAACTTGCTAGGATTTTGATTGGGATTGTGTTCAATCTATCATGTTGGGAAGAACTGGCATCTTAACACTATTGAATCTTCCAGGAATATGGATATTCATTTATTTAGGTCTTTGATTTGTTTCATCAGGGTTTTACAGTTTTCTTCATGAAGATCTTATACATAAACGGTGTGCTTTTTATTTAAAATTCCAATGTCCATTGCTGATATATAGGAAAGCAATTGGCTTTTGTTTTGTATATTAATCTTGTATCCTGCAAGCTTGCTGTAATTGCTCATTTATTCCAGGATTTTTTGGATCACATTTTAGAGATTTTTTTATATAGCCAATCATGCCATCTGTAAACAAAGAATGTTTTATTTCTCCTTTCCCAATCTGTATACCTTTCATTTCCTTTGCGTGTCTTGTTGCATTAGCTAAGGCTTCTAGTATGATATTGAATAGTAGAGGTGAGAGGGGACATCCTTGCCTTGTTCCTGATCTTAGGGGAAAAGCATCTAGTTTTTCACTATTAAATATGATGTTAGCTGCATGTTGTTGTTAGATGTACTTTATCAAGTTCAGGAAGTTCTCTTCTATTCCTAGTTTGCTGAGAGTTTGTGGGTTTTTTTTTTTTTTTTATCATGAATAGGGACTGTGTTTTGTCAAATGCTTTTCCTGCATTTGGTGGGAAGTTTGGTCTTTTTAGAGTTTATTCATCTGTTGATGAACATACAACTTCTTCCTACTTTTTGGCTATTGTGACTAGTGGTGCAGTGGACAATGGCATACACATGTCTGTTTGTGTTGCTGCTTTCAAGTCTTTGGGTATATGTTGTTGTTGTTATGTGCTGTCGAGTCAGACCTGACTCATAGTGACCCCTCCTTAGGTTTCCAAGGCAGTATCACTACGGAAGTAGATTGCCCAACCTTTCTTCCGAAGAGTGGCTGGTGAGTTTGAACCGCGAGCCTTCTGGTTAGCAATCAAGTGCCTTAGGCACTATGCTACCAGAGCTCCCTTTGGGTATATACTAGGAGTGGAATTGCTGGGTCATATGGTAGTTCTTTAACTTTTTGAGGAACTGCTAAACTGTTTTCCATGGTTGTATCATTTTGCATTCTCACCAGCAATAGATAAGGGTTATCCCACAAATTTTGATAAGTTGTATTTTCATTTTCCTTCACTTTAAAATATTTTTAAATTTCTCTTGATAAGACTTCCTTGACCCATGTATTATTTAGAAGTATATTATTTAATCTGCAAATATTTTGGGATTTTCTAGTTAATTTTCTGTTACTGATTTCTAGTTTAATTCCACTGCAGTCTGAAAGCACTTTATATGATTTATATTCTTTTATATTTGATAAAGTATGATTTATGGCCCAGAATGTGGTCAGTCTTTGTGAACGTTCCATGTGAGCTTGAGAAGAATGTGTCTTCTACTATTGTTGGATGAAGTATTCTATAAATGTCAGTTAGACCCTGTTGATTGATGTGGTGTTCAGTTCAACTGTATCCTTACTGATTTTCTGCCTGCTTCATCTGTCATTTACTGAGGTAGGGGTGTTGAAGTTTCTAACTATAGTAGGATTTGTCTATTTCCCCTTGCAGTTCTATCCCTTTTGCTTTATGTATTTTGACATTTTCTTGTTAGGTACATACACACAGCAACCCCTCCGTGGGTTTCGGAGGCATTACCACTACAGAAGTAGACACATAGGGGTAGTTATATCCCCTTGGAGACTTGGCCCCTTTATCATTTACTGAATGCCTTTCTTTATGCATGATAATTTTCCTTTTTCTAATTTCTGCTTTGTCTGAAATTAATACATATACTGCAGCTTTCTTTTGATTAATTTTACAATGGTATATCTTTCTTCATCCTTTTATTTTTAACTTACCAGAGTCTATATTTAAAGTAGGTTTCTTGAAGCATACAGTTGCATCTTACTTTTTTAAGCACTGTTTTTTAATTGGTATATTTAGATCATTACATTTAAAGTGATTATAGTTGGTTTAATACCTACCAAGTTTACAACTCTTTCTACTTGTTCTTTGTTTCTTTTTTTAATCTCTTTTTCTGCCTTACCTAGTACAAAAAAAAACATGGAGGCCACATCTTCTGACCTCCTCTAATCACACAAGAGGAAGACAGAATCACTATCAGTAACCCAAGGCCTATTACTTACTGCAAGGCCAGACAAGCTGCTGCCTCTAACCCTCTCACCAACCGTTCCTCCCAAAGCACCCATCACCTCTCTCCTGGGTTCGATAATTCAATGCAGTGGCCACACAGAACTCACAGGTTATGGGATTTATTAGGGAAGCACCCAGCTACAATTCAAGTTCAGGAAAAACAGTCTTTCTTCCAGCCCACCATCCCTCAGCCAACAGTCTCTCAGTCTCTCTCCCAGCAGAGCGTGTCCCTCGGTGTCTCACTCAGCAGTGTGTGTCTCTTGTGTCTCTTTCCCAGCAGTGCGTATCTCTTTCAGCAGCACATCTTCCTCAACTAGCAGTCAGAGAGAGTTCTGCCTCTAGGAGGCCTCCTTTTGAGCCTGGCAGAGTGGCCAAACTAGCCAATCATAGCATCAGAACTCTAAGCACCTGAGAGAGAGTGGGAACCTCCCAGAACACTATTTTGTGCCACTCCCAACAGAAATACTCCAGGTGGACAACTTTAGCAATCAGGAGCTCCTCATTTGCTCATAGCAAATCCCACCTTGGAGTTTCCAAAGACTTACAGGTAGAAAAGCCACACTAAGTAATTTACTACACTGCACCTGGTATTAACTGGACATTTTATATAATTGTATTTCTCTCCTCTCTTACACATCAATTATACTTCTTTGAAACATTTTTAGTGGTTGCCTGTGGTGGTTATGTTTGTGTGTCAACTTGGCTGGGCCTGGTTGAGTGGCTGGGCAGCTGGATGTAGTATTCCCCATGATGACACTGGTAATCAACTCCATGGTGGAATCTACTGTGAGCAGCTGAGTAGCTGCCTTTGGGTATGTGGTCTGCTTTCTGTATATAAGGAGAAGTTTTAAGAATGGTCTCCAGCCTATGGCACGCTTGGACCCTGCATGTAGCCGTGTCGTTGCTCAGCAGCCTGCTATGCTCTGCCGACCTTGGGACTTACAATGGATCTAAGTTAATGGCCTGCTGTGTGGTTTGGTAACATCGGGACTGTGCCTTTTTACTTGGGGTTTCTCAACAGCCAGCAGCTGTCTGAGTGAAGAAATGCTTCTAGCTCCAGTGGGCTGGGAGCAGGAGGCATAGCTGGACCCCAAGGTTGAGGGGCTTTCACCCAGCCCCTAAAGCCTGGGACTTTGAACTTGGACTTAAAGCCTCCAAATTGTAAGAGTAAACTTCTGTTTGTTAAGGCCTTCCCATTCGTGGTATACTCTTGTCAGAGCGGCACTAGATAACCAGAACATTGCCCCAGAATTAGAAAGTGGACTAATATAAGTCCACTTTCATGTAACACTATCCCACTTCATGGGTCCTGCAGGATCTTATAGCACAGTATTCCCAATTCTCCCTCCCATCCCTTATAACATTGCTGTCACTCATTTAACTCATCCAATCTTCCATGTCATGTACTTTCTCCATTAGAGTCCTCAACATATTAACCATAGTGATTTGAAATTACTAGTTTAATGCTTCCAAAATCTGCCATATCTGAGTCTCATTCTGATGCTTGCCTTGTCTCTTCAGACTGTTTTCTCTTGCTGTTCAGCGTGCTTTCTAAGTTGTTCCAAGCTGGACATGACATATTTGATCTCAGTATGAGATCGGAAGTTGATAGACCTTTGGTGTGAGGTTTTATGTTCATTTGGCCAAAAGCTGGGCAGTGTTTAAATCTGTAGGTATCCCTGTTGTCGCTTTTGTCTTTGTGATTTCTTGGAAACTTCTCACATACATTCTTTATCTTGCATCTCTCTCAGTTGTAATCCACTATTATACTGGACACTTGTTGATATCTATAATCTTATCATTAAATCTCAGTTTTTTAAGTGGGCCTGAGACCCTGGGTCTTGACTTTCAGAAGTATTTCTGAGACAGCTCTGGTAGCCTAGTGCCTAATGCATTTGACTGCTAACCAGAAGGCTGGCGGTTCAAATCCACCAGCCACTCAGAAGGAAGGTTGAGCAATCTACTTCTTTAGTGATGTTGTTGTTGTTGTTGTGTGCCGTCGAGTCGGACCCGACTCATAGCGACCCCTCCTTGGGTTTCCTAGGCAGTATCACTACAGAAGTAGATTGTCCAACCTTCCTTCCGAGGAATGGCTGGTGGCTTTGAACCGCCAGCCTTCTGCCTCAGAAACCCAAGGAGGGGTCGCTATGAGTCGGATACGACTCCATGGCAGTGGGGTTGGTTTGGTTTTTTAGGTGAGACAAGAAGGGTAGATTGGAGCTGATGTTGTCCAATTGTCTAGGTCAGGTAAGGCTCTGGTAAAGTAGATTCCCTTGAAGGACTGTCTTTGTTATGGAGAATAGAATTCTCTGGCTTTGGGCATATTTCAAAATGGTTGCTTTCCCACTGGACTTATTTCATAATGGTTACAGCGACCCTTCCCTGCCTGAAGCCCTAGGGGATTTTTCTCTGATCATCACCATGAGACCCTGGAGAGCTCCTGGAGGTAAGACTCAGGAAAGTTTACCCTCTCTCCCACCCAAATAAACTGGGTCCCTAGAAGTTTTCCAACTCTCAAGCTTGTCCACTGCTGCGTCTCCAGGAGTTTGTCACTACCCTTGAAGTGTCTACTAGCTCCAGTGGCTTCTGTTCCCAGTGAGCTGTGACACTCTTTAGGGTAGCAGTTTGGTATGTCCAGACCACTCACAATTAAGAGTCTGTTGTGAGTTTTTGTATTCTAAGATTCTGTGGTGATTGGAAGGATAGGCCAGATTGAAAGAGTGGAAGGTAGAGTGACAGAATTTAAAAGGAGCTAGGGAATAAAAAAGAGCTTGGCTATATTGATTCTTCTCTGACTTTGCTGCTTAAATTCAGAACCCCATCATTTCTTCTTCGCCTTAATCCTCATCGTCATTGTCTTTGTCATAGTTTTCTTCTTTGTTGTCCTTCATCTTTCCCCTCCCTTTCTTCCCTTTCCTCTCCTCCCTCTTTCTCCTCCTTCCTCCGTCCCCCCATTCTCTGAACAGGTAATAGTTTTTACAGAAAACTATTTAGATTTTTCTTTCCTTTGCTCACAAACCAAAATAAATAAAAACAACTCACTGCCATTGAGTCAAGTCTGACTCATAGTGACCCCCATTGGGTTTCCCAGGCAGTAAATCTTTATGGAAGTAGATTGCCCCATCTTCCTTCCATGGAGCAGCTGGTGGATTTGAACTGCCAACCTTCTGGTTAGTAGTCAAATGCCTTAGGCACTGTGCCACAAGAGCTGGTTCAAACCTATCAGCCACTCCGTGGAAAGAAGACTTGGCAATCTGCTTCCGTAAAGATTTATAGCCTTGCAAACCCAGTGATGGTTGCTATGAGTTGGAATCGACTGGGTGGCATTGGGTTTGGTTTGGTTCTGGTTTTGCTCACAAACATTTTTAAGCATTTAAATTCAATTTTATGTTGTTGTTAATCAACTCATTGGAATCAGAATTTGGAGCTTATTTTAAATTGTAATATTAATTGTCTATGGGTGGAAAATTGAACCCAGCTCTAATTAATGCACACAGAGATACTCAGGTAGGGCAAGCACTCATATGTTGCCAGCTCTAATTTTTCAGCTGCTGAGATATCTCAGGTTTATTTGGAAGTTGACATGAAATTGTTTTCCTAAAGGATACTATACCTTTTGTTGTTGTTGTTGTTACGTGCTATCGAGTCTGACCCGACTCATGGCGACCCCTCCTTGGGTTTCCAAGGCAGTGTCACTACAGAAGTAGATTGCCCAACCTACTGTAAAAAATCATGATACTTATGTTTTTCAAAGAAAACAATTTTGTTCGATGATTCTTTGAAAAGAAAAACTAACAATATGCTTTTTTTGATAGGTACATGAAATCTCGCTTAACCTATTGCCAAATTAATGATGTTATTAAAGAAATCAACAAGGCAGTAGCTAGTAAATATAAGATCTTACATCAACCAAAAAAGACTATGAGTTCAGTGGCCAGAAACCTGTACCACAGATTTATTGAAGAAGAAACAAAGGATACCAAAGGTAAATGATATATGTATGTGTACATGTCGCTGTTTGGCATGAAACTAAATTATGAGAAACAAAGCTAATTCTAGAAAATTCTAACCTAGGGAGAGAATTCTCAACTGTGAAGTAATTTTGCCTACAGGGGATATTTGGCAGTGTCTGGAGACATTGTTATTGTTAGATCTAGTATAGGGATGCTACTGGCATCTAGTGGGTAGAATCCAGGAATGCTGGTAAAATGTCCTACAATGCACAGGACAGCCCCACAAAAAAAAAAAAAAAAAGAATTCTCAGACCCAAAACATCAGTAGTGCCATGGCTGAGAAATACTGCCTAGATATGATCGTGGAAGGATACCTGATACTCTGTGAGTTAGACTAGTAATGATGACAGTTAGTCACACTTACATTACACTTACTTTGTGACAGATATTGTGTGCAAAGAGCTTTTAGTCCTCATAATACAGGCATACCTTGGAATTACCTCAGGTGCATTTCCATACTACCACAGTAAAGTGAGTATCACGATGAAATGAGTCACATGAATGTTTGGTTGCCCTGCACATATAAAAGCGATGTTTACACTATACTGTAGTCTGGTCAGTGTGCAAAAGCGTTACGAAAAAGTGTGAAATATTGTGAGAATTACCAAACTGTGCCACAGAGACACGAAATGAGCACTTACTGTTGGAAAAATGGCACTGATAGACTTGCTCAATTCAGGGTTGCCACAAACCTTCATTTTGTATAAAATGCAGTACGTGTGAAGTGCAATAACGTGAAGCCCAGTGAAAGAAAGTATGCTGGTGTCCTTATGAGGTAGGTACTGTTATTACTCCCATTTTGCAGACTAGGTTATGAGAGCTTAAGTGACTTGCCCAGCCATCAAGTCAAATGATAAAGCCACACTGGATTTCACGTTTTAACCACTGCACCACATTGCTTCTTGAAAAGTGTATTGCTCAAGACACACCATTAGGCAGCTAGTGAGAGAATAAGGACTACATTTCTGAAATGCTGCAGTAAACAGTATAAAGCGTCAGTTGATAGAATAATTATTTCAACAAGATAACAGTTCTCACTTTTGTTGGATAATGATAGTTAAAGTGACTAATGCCATTCATATTCCCAGTTTTAAGACATTAAAGACTCATCCTGAAAATTAACTCATCTATGGTAGCATAGTGGCTAAAGCACTTGACTGCTAACCAGAAGGCTGGCGGTTCAAACCCACCAGCCACTCCTCGGAAGGAAGGTTGGGCAATCCTACTTCCGTAGTGATACTGCCTCGGAAACCCAAGGAGGGGTCGCTATGAGTCGGGATCGACTCGACGGCACATAACAACAACAACAACAACATGAAAATTAACACTAATATCTTTTCTTTTTAGGTCATTATTTTGTAGTGGAAGCTGATATAAAGGAGTTCACGGCTTTGAAAGTTGACAAGAGGTTTCATGTGATACTGAATATTTTACGACACTGCAGGAGGCTCTCAGAGGTCCGAGGGGGAAGACTTACCCGTTATGTTATAACCTGAGGCCCTGTGATCTCTTGAACCCACCAACAGTAGGGTATAGAGACTATTCCCGTAATTATGTATAATTTCATTAGCTTTTTCATTTTCTTCTTTTGTTTGTTATAAAACTTTTATTTTGATAAAGCATATATATTTTTAAAATGTACTCCTTTTCAACAAATAGTTAAGTTCTACCATATATGCCTCTGTGCTAAGCACATGATGGAACTAAAAACGTTCATGTCTACTTTTTGTGTTTGGTGAACAATGCAGTAGACCAAGTAAGAAGGGTACAGATGTGATTATGGAAGAAACAGCGCACGAAGATGAGGTCAAGGATCTGCAGGTCCCTTGGAATTAAAGGTCATTAATGTCTAAATTCCATCGATGGCATTTCAGTCTATAGAAAAACAACCCAGAGGTTGGGCTTTGAGGCAGATTATACATGCGATTACTCTGCTGTCCCATATGTCATTAGGGAGCAGCTTACATGAAATATTTTCAGTATAAACCAATCTGTAAACTTCAACCTGTAATGAAATTGCAATGAAAGAACATTAAAATGAAAAAGATGGTAAAATAACATGTGTAAGCAGGTTGATAGTGGTCATGGGATAATGAGGAATTTAATTTCTCTTCCGCACCTGGGGAGACTGTCTGGTCTATCTTATGTCTGTGCCATCTGTTTGGTAGGCTTATTCCTGTAACAGAATAAAAATATCTCATTAGGCCCCATGGCCTGGTTTACACCATCACTGTGATGACCGCAGAGTGTTGCATATGTATTGTCAGCCTTTCTCCTAATTTTAATTCAGATATATTTAATTTTTCATGTCTTACTTTAAATAAAAGTATTGGCATTATACTTTAAGTCTTAATTTTTCTGTGTGCATCATTTTTTCCTATGAAAGGGAAATGCATTCATACTGAAAT